ACTTAAATAAAATTCCTGGGGTTGAGCTGATCTCTTACACACTCTAAAAAAACAGAGAGTTCCGAACTCTTGCTTTCTTTAACTGCCTTTTGATAGTATACCTCCCGTGGTGTTCAGTTCAGGGTTAACGTCAGCTTATCTTAGTGCCAACTATCACTGCTTCTATGGCCACGTCCAAGCGACAAACTTACAGTATCACAAATCATAGATTCTGTTCCTTCTGTCCTATTTTTTCTTCTACTCTACATGAAGATAAAACTCCTGGCAAGCAAATGTCTAAACCCTGGGAAGCACAAGAAATCCTCGATGCATCTTTTGACCCCTTGGTTCCTTTGATCGTCCTTCATCTCCTCAATCTCTCAGCAGAGACACCTTTCCCAAGTACCAGCACATCCGTCCAGTCTCTACTGAGACGAAATGGAGGCACAGTCAACATTACCGATTCTATTTGACGTAATATTCCTATTCTCTAGTCTGGGATTGCAGCTGAAACATGAGTTCCTCTTAGTTTTGTAGTGTATCCTATCTCCTCACTGCGTCATTCTCCTTGTCAGCATCATTCCCCTGCACTGATTCTTGTTTGATCAGTTCCTTAAACTGTACTCTATCCCTGACTGAATAGGTTAAGTCAATCCGCCTTCACATCCATTAACATTAACATAATCTTTTGATGACAATATTGTTCTTTCTGGCATGTTACCCTCTCCTCATCTCTGTACAGCACTTGGATGTTTATTCTCCGGTTTTGGTCTTCACTGTAATGTTCTATTTACGTGTCTAATGCTTCCCAAAACCCAGTTACGTCATGCCATTTCCTGTCAAGTTCCCCTTCTTCCGCCTTGCTTAGTCACCCCGCTCTAGCCCTTCGTTAACTTCTCGCTTGCAGAGCTAAAAGCCCCCTTTCGCGCTTTCCCTTTCACTGCGGGCTGAAGCCCGGTGCCGGGTAAGGGCAGGAAATTAACCTTTCTTTCATCCCGTAATCGCAGGTTATCCAGTTTCGATTTTGTTGTATCGGACATCTGCTCACTTCCCCCTATGGATTCCAAGTTCCGGTGAAATTCCCGCACTTTCGGATAGCCACACGCCCCTCCTACATCCCCCAATCTGAAACACCAAACCTAACACCAGATTCAAACAATTATGTTAACACACACAAATATAAACCCGAAAAGGACAGAGAAAAGTAGGCGCCACTCATAATGAAAAAAACCAATATGCAACAGCCTCCCCTCCGGTTTCATGTCGGCTCCATTCTCAACCAGGACAGACAACTTCACTAGACAGCAGGACAGACCGTCCAATGTATAATAAGCATCTAAAACACCTAAAAAAGCAACCACAAACAAAGAATAAGAAAGACTAACGATTAAAAGCAGTAGCTTAAGAGTAAGCACTGATAGTAAACAAGTAATAATGATTTGTTTTCATAGTATTCTATTACATCCTTGCTTCTATGCCCCTTAATTACTCAACGTCCACAGACTTTGTTGATATGTTGGTAAACATATTATTTTGCACAGTGTTCACCACCATTGCTTGACTTCTCTTCTCAGTGCGTTATGCGGATAATCTATCTCGTGTATGAGAGACAGTCATTCCGTGTTTCCCACTGCAGACCCCCTAGACAAATGTACACACAAGGAGGTTTTTCTCCCCCTGACCAGTAGTCTTTTTCTACTACAAACTACCTCACCTTTGACAGCTAATGGCTGAATTTGGGAAGCAGCGCCCCCTCTGCAGGAGGAAGTGTCATTTAGTTGCTGTTACCATTCAAATGCGCGGGGGGCGGGCGGGGGGGTTATATTTGTGATACCTTATGAAGAGGGAGGAAACAAATTGAACTGGCATAACCAACCACAAACATAAAACACCTGTTGGCAGACTACAGTCTAATGTTGCTCCGTAACTGCTGGATGTGTAAATAAGCAACTTTTTGTTCAATATACAAATTTAAAAAGGTGATCATTAATCGTTGAAGGTTTAAAACACCAATAAAACTACTAAATATAAAGTTCCACCACCAAAAGATCTTAATATAACACAAAAGCAGAACTGGCTGACAGATATTTCAATAAATTAGTTTTAAGTTACCAATATTTCATTATGCTTTTTCTGGTCACAAATTGCAGATTATTCATTTATAACACAAAATGTCTTCAAATATGCAAATAGATCTCCAATGTATGTGGTCAAGAATTATGTATTGGCCCTTTAAACTTTAAAACAATGCCACACAACCAGCAAAGTGTTGCATCAACTGTTGCTACAATATGTGGGCGTCTCAGTTGTGTGGAGGTGTTGCATTTCTCCTGTCACTGCAGTCAGTAAAGAAGAATGAGAGCCGTGGTGAACAGCAACAGATTCAACTTGAAGCATAAAGGAAGCTGTGTTAAAATCTGTTCGACTGTAGAGGGCAGTGTTGGACAATAAACAGAGGCTTTTAGTTCTATATAAGAGTTTTTAAGTAAACCTCTGATTTTTGGGGCTGTCTGTATATTTAAGGCTGCTAAATGCTTCACACATTATCAGTTTAGCCATTAATATAACACCTACATGTTAATCTGGTATATTAATTTGATTTCCACAAGTTAATATTGTATATTATGCTGTACATTATTTATATTTACTCTTAAATTGAATATTTTGCTTCTCATTAATCACTATTTGAACTGCACTAGCTGTTAATATGCAGTAGCTCCTGGTAAATGCTACCAACTCCCCTGATCTGTATGTAGGCTGTGGTCAAAATGAAGATGTGCTATAGTCGTACAGCAGCTGAAAGAACTCAGGGCTCTGCAGCCAGTGTTGAAATCATTAAGAGGAAGTGGAGTGCAACTGTAGGGATGGATTAAAGAGGCAGGTGCCAGTTCTCATCGGTTTTAACTGTGTTTGACGCGCACAGGAAGCTTGTATTTTCCCCTTTTGCGCATCTTTAACAGAAAGAGGAAGTTTTGCCGCCAGCTGAACGTGTTCACATGCTCCAGAGCTCAGCCTTGCACTGTGAGGAGAAGAGCACTGAGCTCCGATGATGGACGTCTACCAGGAGGCTGTGAATTATCTGGAGACAGAGCATGTACCAGGTGAGGGAAGAGGCTTTGTATTGTTATGTGAAGAGAGTGGATTTTTAAAGCTTTGTGTAAACACTTAACCAGCTAAAATTCTGCATTAGATGATCTGAAAAAAGAAACCAATCTGACGAGCTAGTCATTTACTCATTTGCCTGTTTTAAAATGCACCACAATCTCTTCTACGGGTGTGTTAAAAGTCAGAGAGCAGCTATATTTATGTTCATTTACAAACACTAAGTTTACACATTTAAGGAGGAAGGAGATATGGGAACCTGTTGGATATACTGCAGGATATCATGCATTGTGTGTGTGTGTGTGTTTGTGTGTCAGTTGTAGTTGAAGCAGAGGCTGATGTCCTGGAGGAGGATGTGTTCCAGGAGGAGGCAGTGTCCTGTTACCTCTCTCCTTTCCGCTCAGAGAGCTTAGAGTTCCCCGACACCCCTGTGAGTAATGGGCTCCGCCACTCCTTTTTATTTGTATAGAATAAGTTGTAAAATATACAGAAATACGTGGAGTTTCAGTGGTGGACTTTAAGTAAAGACACACACTAAAACAGACAAAAAGCTGTTAGCAGGTCCTCGGGTTATACCTTATAGCGTTGTCCCGTCCATCAGCTGATATTTCATTGAGTTATTAAAGACAGGGAGGGACTACAACTGAAAAAAGAAATAAAGGTAACTTGTGTTTTGTTGACATTGGCTTTACTTCCTCATTTTATTCTGACTGTATTAAGCCCCAGTATGTAGAAAAAGTATTGAAGAAGTAACCCTTCTGTTTTCCACAAACAGTGCACATTTTATTAAAGTAGAAGAATACAGAAGTGACCATTAAAAACTGTTTGATAACACCACATAATTATGTTAATGTTTCACATATTATGTGGTCTACACAGGAGGATATGTGTGATCCTATTTAGTGACACAGAGAAGTTCAACTATATTCAAACAATTGAATATAACCATGTTAAATCTATGAGACCTATACTATATATAACTATAAATTGCACCAGTTGCATCATCGCTGACTCAATGAATTGTCACGTAATTGATTCTGAGACTGACTTGGGTGTATTTCCGACGTGTTGTTGAATGATTGTGATTCAGACGTCGTGCAGCCCGGAGGAAATGTTGGAGAGGAGGCTTGTGGTCCTGAAAGGCATCCTGGAGAGTGAGGAGGTCTATCTCCGAGAACTGGAGGCCCTGCTGATGGTAACATACACACACACACACACACACACACACACACAAATAAACATGAAAATTCTCACCTCTTATTTTAGCATCAAAATGTTCTCTCCGGGCTAACCATATCTCAAAAAGGGTTCACTATTAATTGATTATTACTGCTGAACTTCCCCTTTGCTGTTCTGCTGTCACTACATTTCTGCTTTTTCTAATAATGTAGCCTAAAGCAGAATCATAGTACCCCTTATTGACTTCAGCTCACTCTCCAAAGACTTTTCATGATCATACAGGAGATCGTTGCTTCGCTTTGTGTCTGTGCTTAATGTATCTCGAGTATGAGCAGCAGTCACATGCGTGTTTTTTGGCCTGTGGTTAGCGTTGTGTCATACTACAAGATTATATCCAGCGCTCACATCCACTGCAGATCACTGTTCAGCTTCATTGTCAAACCACAAATGGATTGTTCTCTATCATAGATGAGGTTCCCCTTTTTTTTGTCTCTAAAGATTGATTGATGTCTGCGGTTTGACGTGAAGACTGTAAACAGGGGTGAACAGCAAGCTTGGGTGTGTCCAAAGCTAAGAAAATCCACGTACACACACCTCTAAAGCTGACTAATTAACACATTATATCTAGTTTGTTTAATCCGTATTAAGAAAAACAAACATTTTGAAGTTTTATGGTGGAAAATGTGCCAGACTGTTGGTAACTTCCTGGAGTCTCTGCTGGTTGCCTTGCAACTGGTCCCTGCTGGCTAACCCTAGCTAATGCTAATTAGTAACTTGTTTTTTGTTTTCTTTTTTCACTTTAGTTTTTTACATATTAAACAAACACTACAACATGTTAATAAGTTTTAGAGGTTACGTTTGGACAGAACCAGGCTAGATGTTTCCCCTCTTTTCAAGTCTGTATGCTAAGCTAAGCTAACTGGCTGCAGCTTCATATTAACCCATGAGAGTGCGGCTTCTAATTTAACTCTCTGCAAGTCTATTTCCTAAAAAGTCAAATTATTTCTCATTAAAAATACAAAATGTCGATCTCATTGCAATCATTAGCATGTTAACTGATAGTCAATGAGAGCAGAAACATTCAAATTTACTCCTGCCTTGAATCTAACACTAATCCCGCTTTAAAAGCAGAAAGAGATTTGGTGATGGCGCAATAACGAGTGCCTGTCTGGGAGCTTCCTTCGTGAATTTCTTCTGTCTTTTTTTCTCTGCTATTAACAGCAACCCTCTATTTCTGCATTCATGGATGTTGTGACTCATTTAACTTGAAAAAAAGTGGATGTGAGAAGTGAATCAGAAAGTCTGGGAACGCTGGGTTTCGTGTGCGCAGTTGTCTCTCGGCAGTATGCATCGTTATGTGGCTGTGTATACAATCATGCTGTATAGGCTTGCTTTTATTTAGCAGTGGTTTGAGTGTACATATATGTGTCAAAGTGGCTGCTGAAATTCATGCGAGTGAAGCTGGGGGTGTTGTAAATGTCAACGTATGCTCACACGTTCTAATTTTCCCTCGCCTTTTTTTTTTTTTTTGCACACCACCTAGTTCTTCTTGCCTCCAGCCTCTCTGCATGTACAGATCAGTTATTTCACTTCATTTTTCTCTAGCCCATGAAGGCTCTGCGGGCCTCAGCTGGGACCTCCCAGCCAGTCCTGTCCAGTCGTCAGGTCCAGACTGTTTTCTACCAGGTGCCCGAGCTCAGAGACTTACACCAGAGCTTTTACTCTGGCCTTAAGGCCCGGCTCAGCATGCACTGCCAGACTGAGTCCAGCACTGGTGAGGAGAGAGAGACGAGTCACACGGGCTTTGAGTTGTTGGTGGGAGATCTGTTTCTCAAAATGGTAAGTCCTCTATTGTGTCAACTTTGAGTGCTTGTTTCAGAAAGGAAGAGTGGAAACACACAGATTGACACAGAGGGAAGCCTTTCAATGTAGATAAGTGAAAGAAATGTTAGTGTTATAAAAACCCATGAGATGAGCTTATTGACAATGAAGTAACTATCATGTTACTTCCCCTTTTTAAAAATGTCTAACCTGAGGAAATGTGCCAGGTTTGTTCTTTGTGCCTTTAACCCCTTAAAATCCAAATGTACCTATCCATTAAGTAGCTTTAAAGGTCCAATGTGTAACATCTAGGAGGATCTAATGGCCAGTGTAATACTGGTGAGAGCTAAAGAGCTAAAACTGAAGTGAAAGCTGGACATCGCATTCATCAGTAGGCAGAAACATGTCTTCATGATGTTCACCACAACTACTTTCTATATAGTCATATTATGTCATTGTTGTGTTTAAAGCTTGTCGTGGCCAAAAAAAATCAATTAAGCAGCTTAAAGGTTAGAGAAATGATTTTATTCCACAGTGTCTGATAGTTTAATGTATATCAGTTTGTTACAGCCCTTTACTGAAGCTATATGATGTTTACAGTGATGTAGACTTTTAAGGTTTTATTTATAGATTTTACATGTCATACAAAGTATTCATTAGTGGTCATGAAGGTTAATAAGATAGAACGTAGACATTGGACAAAAATGAATATAAAATAAAACATAAACAAATCACTGAATTAGTAGTGTTTCCTTCCTCCATTCGTCACTCTGTTGTTTTGCCTCTGCAGGTGAACCAGATCGGTCTGTACGGTGGTTTCATTGGAAACTATGAGGAAGCTGTTGAAGTTGTTCGCAAGTGCACACAGTCAGATCCTCGGTTCCGGACCTTGGCCCAGGTATTGCAAACTTTCAGACGAGCATTTACTGTAACAAGTTGCGTACAAGGTTTTCCTCACCCGTCTCACTTTATCTCTCGCCTCTGCAGAGCATGATGTCTAATAATAACGGCTCAGACAAAACTCGGACCACATACACATTTGAAGGTACATGCTCTAAATTTTTGTGGTCATAATAACCAGTTGGCTGACGGTGTCTGATTGCTGTCTTTCTGTTTTTACAGCTCTTCTATACAAACCTCTGGACAGAGTAACCAAGACCACACTAGTGCTGCGTGTGAGATAATTGATCAATTCCTGAAACTTCACCTCTATAGCTGCTACTCTGATTGGCTCATCATTCTCCCAGGACTTACCCTGGAGTAGGATCTTTTTATACCCCACTTCCTCCACCCACTTAGCATTTTCTGACTAAGCACCATGTCTGTGATCTTGTAGGATGTCCTGAAGACGACACCAGTGGAGCACGGAGATTACTCATCCTTACAGGAAGCTCTGAGATTGTCTCGCAGCTTCCTATCTGGTGTCAACGAGAGTTCACAGAGCAAACGAGAGGTCACGCTCAGTCACGGAATGGTGAGGCTTAACGATTCACAAAATCTGGCAGAGATGTACACGTAAACTGTTTAATTGCACGTTTGCATGTGCGCCCATCCTTGCTGAAGCCCGCGCTTGTGACAGCATATGTATATGAAACATACATGTGTGTTTGCGTGTTACTCCAGAGACGTCAGCTGATGCGTGATGGCTTTGTGGTGGATGTGAGTGAGGGGGAACGCAGCCTGCGTCACCTCTTCCTTTACACCGACCTCCTGCTGTGCACCAGATTCAAACATGCAAGCAGAGGGTGAGTGTAGCAAGAGAAAGCCATGGGTTCTGTGGGAAATGTGGTCTACATTTTGAGAGGCTAGCGGTAACAAACACTGGATGTACGTGCATTGTGTGTTTCCTTTTGCTCGTAGTTGTTTATGAGTCACAAAAGCTGTCATAGTTGCTGACTGAATGATGGGTTTCTTGTTTGGGTTTTTTTCCAGGAAGCAGGACCAGTACAGGTTCTGCTGGTATCTGCCTCTCGCAGGTCTCAAACTTCGCTGGGTTGCGGAGCAGGAACGTTCAGACGCACAGATTCGTGTACACACCATGAGGGCGAAGATGTACTTCCTCCGACAACAGATACAGCAACAAAAAGCAGTATGTTTGTGTAAAATAGACACAGATGCAGAGAGAAGAGTGTGACCAGTGGGTTTTTTTTTAAATATAAAAAAATGTGTTTGTGTAAAGAAGGGGTCCAAGGCCATGGCGGCTATGGCAGCTCGCCACAAGAAGAAACTGGAGCAAATGGAGTTGATGCTGATCACATACTGCCCTGTTTACAGACTGGACCTGCACAGCCCCAGTGGCAAGGTACACACACACACACACACACATCATATTGTCAGCACAGAATATGTCGAGAATAATAACCCACTGAAATAAAAACAAACCTGTTTCACTGCAGAGTCACAGTTTCCTCCTCTCCTCCCTGTATGAACTTGAAGAATGGAGGGAAGCCATCCACAAACTCACCACAGACAGTAAGTCCACAGCTTTTGGCCACAAGCATGTTCACTACATGTACTCCAAATGCTAGACGATTGCAAAAGTCTCAGCTATTCTTTTTTTGGCTCTCTAAACACATACATCTTTATCAGATGTCATAGAAACAGATGTGGGTGTGAAGATGTACACTAGCTGTGACTTGGTCAACAGCCTGTGTACTGCAGGCATCAAACAAACTTTCAATGTCTTGTGGAACCAAACAGCTTCCTCTAATGTCACATTACAAAGGACTGCAGTGCTTCGTTTGGACCGTTATGCTCAGAAGCAGACGTCTTTTCTTGTCTTACAGCCACCACATAAACATGTTGGCTCAACCAGTTGCGACCAGTTGTGAGCACAGATCTTTTTTTCTCATCTATCTGCTTCAGTCGATTGGCACCAATTCTTATAAACAATTAAACATTCTAAGGTTCTAAGGCATCCTGTTGATGATCCTCTAAATGATAAATCAGTTAATTAAGAAAATAATGAGATTAATAATTAAAGATTAATAAATAATGAAAATAACCATTAGTTGCAGTCTTACTTATGATTTGTTAACGCAATACCATTTTGTTTGGTCAACTGGTTTAAAAATTGAAAAAAAAAATGTACTTGTGGATTATAGCCTGTGAATATTAAAGGCGATGGCGTTTTTTTTGGTATGATTTCCTTTTAATGGAAGGAGCAACTATACTAAAACAGTTCAAAACATATAATAATTGCATTAAATTATATTAAAAAAATGGGAACAATTAAAGTAGAAGCCATTTTTTTGGGTCTTGGGGCTTCAGCAGCCCAAGGAAAAACGCTAAGATTTTAGTCTGTTGTCCAACAGAAATAGGAGCATTAGCATTAATAACGATCCTCTTTTTAACAGGCCTCGAGTCTAGTGTTTTTTTTTTCTTGAATCACTGTGTTCTGTAAGCTGATTCTGTTTGCTATTTGTTGTTTGTCAGACATAGAAACCGTCCCTCCTGACCTGCTCACCCTCACCTGTGCATGTGGGAAACTGAGAATGACCCAGCAGCCTCCACTACACAGCTCAAACCCCGGTACAAAAACCACCTCTATTCGCCTTTTTTTCTTTTCCTCACACATCACATCACAATCACATTCTGCATCAGAAATTAGAGCTCAACCAATATGGTATTTGTGCAGCTGATACAGATTTTAGAGTGGAAAAATTCTTGATTACTTGTGCAGTGGTATAGTGATATAGTCATCTTTTGAGTCGAAATGAAAAATGAAAATAGCATGCACTCTGCAAAGGTACTCAGAAGACTACTTTCATCAACAAATAACTTTATAAAAGGATATTTAAGATATAAATCCAATGGGTTTCAGGATATGTTTGCCTTTGTCTCTCACCAGTAGAGGACGAGGAGTCTTTATGTGGGACTCTGACTGTGGCGATCCACTCTGCCTGCGGCCTGCAGCAACCGGCCTGTATGTTTAACTTTTAGTTTTTCCTGAAATAACCAGTTAGTTATTGGTTCCTAAAGGAGCAGATCCTCTATCTGAACAATGAACTAGAGGTTATAAAGTCACTAATTGTCTGCTTCTCTTTTTTAGGCGTGTATGTTTGTGTGGAAGTGGATGGCAACGCATTTTACGAGAAACAAACCCAGACACGCTCGTCAGTCCACAGCCTCAACCCACACTGGGACCAGGTTAGCGTAAAGATCTTTTTAACAGTATAAGTGAATGTGTAGCTGTCCCTCATACTTTCATACATGCTGTCATTTAATTAGCTATTTTCCCCTAATGGAGGAAAGTCAGAATTCCCTGTTGATTGGAGGGTTATTCCGATCAGCTGTTGCACAGGGTGTGGGGACTGATTCCTTAATAATGATTGAGAGGAGCTTGGTGCATTCCCCTCTTGGCCAATCAGGGTGTGACAACGCCCTTTCAAAGGTCATAAGAGATGTGGTGCACCTCCACGCGCAGGGTATTCTGATTCTTCCTCAGCTTAGTGCAGACTATAGCAGATATTATCAACCACAAACACTGGTCTTTTCATAATATCATCATTGTAGTCCCATTAGTGCCAAGAGTTTCGCTTGCCTAACAATTACCAACTACCTGCAGGCTTTATTTTATTGCTTTATTTTCATTAATAGCCCTTTTTATAACAGGGTAACCAGATCCCTAGAATTAAACACTTATCTTCTGCCCCTTTAGCTCATAACATCTCTAAGCTTTGCCCTCTGGTTGACACAGTAGCGCACAATGGACTGTGTGCATGCAACTTTCCCGACTCTTACAGCAAGTAAACACAACAGGCATAGACAGAAGCCAACTTTTCATTTCTTATTGTCTTTTGTAATAGTTTTCAACCAGTTGTACGTTTCCTTTTTCTTTGTGGTAGTTTCTGCCACAAACAGCCTGTGACTTTGTGGCGGCTCGCTGTTTGCCCTGTCCAGTGCAGTGTAGCAAAGAAAGAACAGGTTAACCTGCAGTTGACCTACATGTGTGTAGTTGAACATCAAACACAGCCCAGTAATGACAACCATCTCTGCTTTCTTTACAGCCATTGTAAAAAAAAAAAAAAAAGATTTTAGAAAAGAAAACTAGAGCCAATCAAAATGTGGGACATTGTGTGAGATACAAATGCTGTGCGGTCCCACATACAGTGAGACACCTGGTCATTCGACTTTATTCCCATTTCCTTTATTAAAGAGACATTTGTTTAATATCAAAGAGGTGGTTTTTCATTGTGAAGGCACTTCTGAGATTTGTTACTCCAAGTAAATATTGATTATATTATGCGGTTAGCAACTGATTCTCAGGCTTCTTCCCTATCAGCTGAGATCTGGGAAATCAGTGCTGCTGCAAATGTACATTGGTCTTTTAAACTTGAATAAAAGGGAGTTAAAGCTGATATGAAAAGCAGATTATTTATTAGACAGTCCACGATGGTAAATGTCTTCTTCATGTCTAGACAGCATCCGACATGTCAGGCTTCAGTTCAACTCAGAGGATTAAAAAGTGAGCACTGTGGCCAGACTGTGCCCTGCTTTAAACATGATCAGTGGCAGTAAAATCTCTAAATCCAACTGGTAGCCAGGATCAAAAGGCTTAGAACAAGAAATTAATGCTGCTGTTGTAGCTTTAGGACACTGGTGTTATTCCCGGTGTTAACGCCGCCTTCTTTCTGTCAAACAGGAGCTGTCTCTCCAGGTGGACGGGGCACAGAACCTGAGGGTGCTCTGTGTCAGTCAGTCTGATGGACAGGATGATACTGTGCTGGGCAAAGCTTCTGTGACGGTATGAAGACGAAACCGAGCTCCAGCTTTATTATCACGCTGAAGGTGGTAAACACATTAGTGCACCAATAACAATGAAAAACAGAGAAATCTACAAATATTAAGATGCTCTGATCAATATTCAGAAATAGGTCAAATGAATTAGTGCAATGTGAAAGGCGTGCAGTGATTGCAGTTCCCCTCAGCTCTACAAAGTATTTTAGCGTCTTTCAGCTCATTGTTTTGGTTTCACAACCTGCAACTTTACTGTTTTGATTCATCCGTCACTGCTCTCATCAGCAGGAAGCTGTTTTGAGTAAAAAAAAAAGCTCTGATAAACTCGGTTAATGCTACCTACCCAATGCCGGCTAACAGATAAAGTTCACAAATAGCTGGTGAACTTAATGGTGGAGACCAACATGGAGCTAAAAGGAGAATAAATACTGGACTTTATCGGGTTCCTAAATGTGTTTATATGAGCTTTATAAAGTCATAAAGTTAGTCTGTTTTTCTAATATTTTGTGTTTTGTCTTCTAGTTGGACTCTAAAACCCTGAATAAGCGATGGAGGAGACAGACTCTACACCTTGGCCAGGTGGAGGTGACACTCTCCCTGAAGTACTCCCATCACCCACTAGACCCACCCAGCTCCATGGCCCAACAGCAACAACCAGTCTTCTGTGTCCCCATTGGAACTGCGGCTCAGTAAGTCACTGCCAGTGAAAGAAGTGCTTTCACTGATCCTGTCTGGGGGCGTTGAAACCGAAAGCTGCCGTTCTGTCCAAAGTTTTATTTCCCTAGTGTGGCATTTTGTGCACAGTGTGCGGTTTGTTTTGTGGGAGAGTGTGCTGAAGAGAAGTAGAAGTGAAGCAAGAGTGGAATCTGAAATGAAATGAAACATCTGAGGTGTTTTTTTCTTTTAATTCTCTGTCAGACAGGAGGGAGTTCTCGTCCCCCATGTGGTGCGCTGCTGCGTGGAGGAGGTGGAGAGGAGAGGCATGAACGAGGTGGGCATTTACAGGATTTCGGGAACCACCAGTGACATCGGCGTGCTCAAGACTGCGTTCAACAGCAGTAAGAATGCACACACCAAAACATCCGTTTTTCTTCTGGCATGTGCTGTTATGTCGCAACAGTGATTCAGAGAGGCCAGAAATACCATTTCACACACTTAAAACTGCTAAAACAGCCGTTGTACATAAAGGAGCAGACCAGTGTGAGATTTAATATAGAATCATCACATACGTGACAACACACCATGCTTCATTCCCCATTGTCTGGAGTTTTCAGACGTTTTATCCAGTTTCTGGTGTTGTACAAACTTTGTCACATTATACAAAGTAGTGTTTCTGTAAACTTAATACTGGATCAACATGGTCAGGCAAAGACTGTTCCTGAAGATTGTAGATGGCCTAAAGGTTAGAGAAACATGCTGCCGACTGGTTAAAGTGAAAAAGCATTGTTTGCCCCTCCATCATTACCGCCACTGATGTGCCCTAGAGCGAGGCCCTTAACTCCCAACTGCTCCAGTGGAGCTGCTCAGAGGCCAGCAGGTCAGACTGTGGTTGTACTGGGCAGCTTCTAGCTGTGAATGTGTGTGTGTGTGTGTAACATTCAAATGTAATCAGGGTGTTCCTGCAAAAGAGGCTTCCTCTCAGTCTTTTTTTAACCTCCTATTTATTCACTGAATGTTTCACTAAGTCTGCAGCTCTGTGAGGCTGTACTTGGGCGTGTAAACATGCTAACCTTGAATTAGCACTAAACACAATGTACCACTAAGGCGGATGTGAATATATCAGTGTTGCGGTTGTCATGAACTAAAGTACTGGGCAGAAATGTTAAACTGATGAAGGATAATTTTCACACTAATCCATCTAGTTGAGATATATATGTTCGTCTGTATGTAAACTTGTTCATACCACAATTGTGAAAGTCAGACACACTTGCTCAGTACCATTACAAGGCGTTTCATGACACTAATAAGGAAGGAAGTGTGTATGCTAGAATAAGATACAGTAAAACTGATTATAATCATGTGTCTGCTCCACTCAGATCTGCGTGAAGCAGTAACCAGGCTGAGAAGTGCCGAAGTTAACGCCGTCTCTGGTGTTCTCAAACTGTACTTCCGAGAGCTACCGGAGCCTCTTATACCCACTGAGCTGTTTCAGAGCCTGGCCAAGACGCTGGGTAAGATGAGTGACAAACCATATTCTTCTCTATAACCTGCAGGGATTAAACTGCTGTTTGTTTTTTCAAAGTTTGAGGCAATTGCACACTTGAGGTTGTGGATTTTAGCCTTTTTTTGAGTTGATATGTTGTGTATTTTCCTAAGTTCAGAGGCTATTTGCTTACATTTACGTCCTACAGCTACTTTTCATAGTCAATTTCCAGCTTATTTGACCCTGAATTTAGAGTAGTAAATCATTTACAACAGCATGACTGACATTGGTCTCTCAGACAAGTGCTCTGAACTTCACATGAATGTGTTTCTCCCCCTTCTGTAGACATCCAGGACATAAACGACCGGCTTGTCTCCATGTTGTCCCTGCTGCAGTCCTGTCCTGACCCCAACCGCCACACTTTCCTGTACATCCTGCACCACTTGCAACGGTCCGACAACAGTCAGACAGCAGCACACAACACAACACAACCCTTTAATTCATTATCAATCAACAAATAAAGGGATTTAGTTCCTGTAAAATCCCACCAGCTGCCTTTTTTTTTTTCGTATGATGGAAAGTCTCAGTTGAGCATTGCAGTAGATTACAGCAGCAATCTTAATTAACTCTCTGTGGTTTCAGTATGTGATGCTGCTTTTACTTCACTGCACCACATATTTATTTTTAATCCACTTTTCTCCAGAGTCTCTGAGAAACAAGACATCAACAAGATGTCTCTCATGAACCTGGCTACGGTGTTTGGTCCGAGCCTCATACGCCCCCCAGTGGTCGGACTGGGTCACGACGGCCCCACTGTGGATATCTCTCAGGAGGTGGTGGTACAGGTAGGAATAAAGTGCCAAAAAGTAGTTTTACACTTTTTTCTGCCAAAATTGAAGTCTTCAAATAGATTTAGAAAAACTGAGGTCATATGTTGATTAAACACCACAAATAGTTTAACTTTTAAAACTTATTTGCAGTTCTTTTTATAGTTTTATTCAGTTAACTGATCAATTATTCAGTTCCTCTCCTTATCTGTTACCCCCGGGGCCATAGTGCAGTACATAATAAAAGGGAAATAAAAACTACAGCAGCTGTCGATTTAGTTGTTAAAATATTTTAATAATCAAGTCATTGTAAGAGAAATTTCTTCCTGCTTCTCAAATTTTCTGGTCACTTTAGACTTTAGACAGTAAAGTGAATCTTTGGACAAAACAAGACATTTAAGGACATCACCTTGGCTTTTGAGGACACAACGATTAATCTTTTTTGTGACATTTTATGGACCAAATAACTAATGGATTAATTAAGAAAATGATCACCAGATAATGAAAATAACATATCTGCAGCCCTGTCAAAAACTAAACAATTAAAACAAGCAGAGGAAAAAATCACATAAACGCAGCAAATTAAAATGAGGCATGAAGATTTAAAGGCTGTTATTTTGAGCCTTCTTCACACTGAAATTATTAAGTTGACCAAAAAGTAATCAAAATTGAGTGAGTTTTTTTTAAGCTATTGCTAAAACCCCATATTTCCATAAAATAACACCAAGGACAGATCAGTGTCCTATAGCCCTGGGCATAGATTGTGATGTACTATTTTTTAATTAAACCCCTCAGAGTTATTCTGTTCAACCAAGCTTCTGCCTTTAAAATAATTTAATACGGAAGAAAAGGTAAAATTATTGTGTATTTTGGATACATAACTCTTCATATGACAATATATTATAATGAAAACATGTAAAATAATTAACTTTACTGCATGATTAGTTTGACTTTTAATGAGTTATTCAGGGTAAAAGGTATTAAAGTGTGAAATCGATTACAATGGTTATAGTTTTAAGTAACTCAGCCACAGCGTACAGGTTAAACAATACTTCACAAACGTCTGCTGCTTTGTGTTTATGTCGTATCTGTGTGTGTCTTTAGGTCCAAGTGGTTTACTCGTACCTGCAGTGCAACAACCTCCCTGAAGCCGAGACCGCTCTGCAACATGACACAGACGCTGAAGATGAGACCACCCACGTGTGAGACCACCATCAGTGTCACGGCTGGCAGGAAATGAACAAATACTGTGTGTAAAGGTCTGTAAGACAAATAGAGGTATTTATTGATTAAAAACAATGACTTGTGACTGTTGTTGTTCACATTTTGTCACTTTTTGCAACTTTTGAGACCAAAGTTGTAACATTTTCTGTTTTTAATTAAATCTGGTACAGCATATAAACAATTATTACATGAGAAACATTTAAATATAAGCATTGTTTTATTAAGTACAGTAGCATCTGTTAGGCAACCACACCTTCCACACTTAATACCACACTTCAACATGGTCAGTCTTTTCTTTTGACCTCAGCATTTACACTTAAACATACAATATGTGATATAATAATAGGTTATAGTATAATACTTAAACAACTCACCACAAGGTTCATTTAGGAGCTTTCAGAACATCTGTTGTTTTCAACAACCGATGGATGCGTCCAGTAATGTAGTTTTCAAACGTACAAATGTTCCTCTATTCTTAGATTTCTTGTCTGTTTCAGCTTAAAAACTGAAGTTCAAGGTTCATTCATGACTTGGAAGCAGCTGTTGAGACAACAAATCTCTTACAATTAAAAGTTAATTTCAAGTGAATAAAACTAAAATCTGGACACCGGTACACTTGATCAAGAGACCGTGCCAACTATTTCATTCATATATTCATGTATTTTTTTATTTTAACTCATAAATACATTGAGGCAGAGACCTCATTTACAATATAGCTGAGAAAAATAAAATACACAAAACATCCTAGGTACCAAGAAACACAAATAAGAAGCTTGTAATAAAATAAGGCAGTCAGTAAAAAAATAATAAAACCTTGAAGTAAAGCAAATGAATCAACTAAAACAAGAACAACTGGGCATAAATTAAGATTTGAGTTAGATTGTTCTGCATGTTATGTTGCAGGTGTACAATGAAAAGCTAAGTAATATATTGTATGTCTATGTATGTACCCAGGACCCCCTAGAAAGTATACTGAGTAGATTATCCCAGAGGCTGTAGAACCAGAAAAGGTCAAAAAGTGGTCAAACTAAAGATCATAATTTAACATTTTAGTGGATAAAAGTGTGTTACAGTGGTGTTTTATAGGCGGGTGGCACAGGGAAGTAATGTGAAGTTTAAAATGTGGTTTTAGGAAAAAATCAGGGGTGCAGATGTTGTCAAAAGGTCAGGGGTCTCCTCCTCGAGCCTGAAATTCAATCGGTTATGGTTCAAAACCAACTAGACGGAGTTCATCCGAAGTGTACGCCCCATAAAAGTCATTCACACACAAAAACACCACGTTGGAGGCCAACACACACATACAGCCCACGTTCGACCCATCCACACCACAGATGGCAGCCTCTTTTCAACCACACCACCTGGGCAGACCGGGCTAGTGTTACCCCCCCAACCTTTTACCCCAAAGCCCCCCTTCAACTCTTTTGATCACTAATCCTGGACCCTGACTCCAGCTCTCCAATAGACTGGGGACTGTGTGCGGACGCCATAACAACATCCAGAACAAGTCCCTAACTGAAGGAAAATGGTGGGATCACCCTGTTGCCCCCTGCGTCATAAATCAGCTGTCCCCTCCAACACGGTGGCTGCCAAAATAAAGTTCCGCTTGACGACTACAAAGACAAAATGAGGTTCAGACTACAAAGCCGAGGAAGGCCTGAGACGTCCCAGACGTTTGGGACCAAGGACTGGACCCGGCGACTGGTCGACACCTGGAGCTGGTGGGAACATTTTTACAGGAAGAGTCGGGTTCTGGACATGTGACAGCACTTGTTCCATAAAGTCTTTGTTCCACACGCACACTGTCTCCAAAGATCCTACAGTGGTGTTATATATGTGGAAACTCTCTGCTCCATATTGTGGTAGAGCCATTTGTATAAAGCTAGTTTGAAGGTAAATATGACAAACGAACATGAAACTTTACATTTTAAAGGTTAAAGGTGAATCCTCGTTTTTTTCTTTTTTAAATCCTTTTTAGAAACTAATAACTTTGTTTTCAGACCATGTGTGATCTTCAGTTTCCAACATTTTACATTAAACCAAAGAGGAGCTAATAAGTTTCTCAAGCTAATGAGAAGAACGCCATCACAGGCCTTAAACAGGGCCAATCCTTCATGCTACGATGCTGCAGTTACGTTTTCACATTTAAAAGAATCAATCACCAAAAGTCAAATAATATATATATTTTTATTTACAGTTTAACAGACTTTTGTAGCTATATACTTATCTTAATCATATCAAGCCTATTCAAACAACCTTACTGGCCCTCCTCAGACGGAGCCTTTTTATTATTATAAGTAAAGTTAATTTAAATTTTTTGTTATCATGGATTTTGGACATTAATGCATTTTCTGCTGTATTTACAATCTGTTTCTGATTCATGTCCTGCTGGTAACCATCCAACGTTATTCTCATGAATGGTGATCCACAATACCAATCGACAATTATAATATAGATATTCTTGACATCATGGGGATGAATCTTGTCTGGACTAAGGGAGACAAATCAATATATTAATTGAATTAAATAATTAGATTACTAATGATTACTACTATTGAAATGTTTTTATATAATATGTCAGTTTGAGCTTTTTGAAGCTTTTCTAGTCAAAGATTGAATTTTCCATGTGTTATTTAACTCTTGAGTGAATAAAGCGGTTTAAAGGTTTAATAATCCTGCACACCAGGACATTTCTCTCTACTTTCAGCAATAATATATGTAGGACATTTTAAACAGCAAATGCTGCTGCATGTTTGCAGTACAGTGAATATAAATGTGTGTCTGCATGTGTGTGTCATGGTGTTTCTGCCCGGAGCTGTGCCATGCTTGATTAGTCCTAATCTAGCTGGGAGTCAGGTTGCTGTGTCGGCGGCGTGTCTGTATGGAAGGCATGCAGGCTGCGGATCACAGGGATTGACCCTCTGCCTCTCAGGTTAACAGAAGCCCTGTGTGTGTGTGTGTGTTTCAGAGACGGTAAAACTTGCAGAACTTGGACTTGAGCTCTCAGGGTGTGAAACAACAACTTGGAGTGTGTGAGGAGGAGATGTACAAGCTTTGAGAAGAGGGTAAAGTCAAAGTGTGTGTGTGAGAAAAAGGAAATGAGATGATAAAAATAAAGTGTATGTGTGTTTGCAAGAGCTCTAGTTGAACTTTGGCTCTGGCTGCAGCGCAAGAGGAGTCACCTCTCGTAAAGCGTACCCTCAGCAGGTTGTAAACGTAATACCACACACTCACAAACACACACTGCTGGAGAAGATGGAGGCCTGCACTCGTGCACGGCGCCTCAGTAAAAAGTGTGTGTTGTCAGTTTAAAGTGAACAAAGCCACAGATAACGGGCTCCCCTGCTGCAGCAGAGCGGCCTGCGGGCTTAAGTTGTCTGTTAGTGTCTGTGTAAGTGTGTGTGTTTGGGGAGTTTTAGGATCAAACCCTCATGTCGACAGAGGCTGCACTGAGGAGACGACCACTGACAGGTGCTTCCTGCAGCAACGCAGCAGGTGCTTCGCGTTCTCACACACACACACACACACAGGCAGATATTTTGCCTCCCAGACATGATTGTGCATGTACTAAGACACATACATTGTCTGCCCCCCCGCCCCTCACCAATTGCCTCTGACACACACAAGTTTATATTATTATGTGCGGATGTGAGCTGTGTAACCATACACTCTGTACATGCTAAACTGTTACAGCCGCTGTGATGTTGCTGTTATGAGTTTGGTTGTGTTTTCTTGTGCAAAAACTTCCATTAAAATAGTAATTTTGAGGCTTGATTGGTGGAAATTTTCCCAGTTTCTGTCACTGCCATTTGAGCTTCAACTAGAGGGAATGCTTTACTGTAACAATAGGCTACAAATTAAATGCTCCTCAAATGCCTCACCCATGCTACAGAGTGCCATAACCATCTAATTTGTTGAATATCCAGATTTAAAATCTAATTTTTATTGAGGATTTAAAAATCAATCATACACAGGTTTGGGGTTTTATAGTTATAATTGCTATAATTGCTGTAATTGAGCTTTTGTATTACAATCTGTGTTCACACACTAACACAATTGTGACACTGAGCTGCAGTAGGAAATATGAGTCCACTGCTCAACTGGTGTGTATCACTACACAGCTGACTTAAATGTTTTTACTGGTCAGTATTGACCAACAAATGTCTTCATATTGGAGGATTTCCTTGATGATTTTCTTTACTTGCTAAGTTGGCTAAAGCTAATTTTGGCCCCCCATTTTAATACATGATAAAAACAGGACCGCTGTGGATTGTGCAGCCCCCAGGAAGAAGCTTTTGTACATTTGTACCTCATGAGTATAAAAAAAAACTGCCCTCAGTGGAGCGGCCATCAGTCAGCGAGTCTATTTTTCTCTTTTTATTTTCAATCGCAGGCTCCAGCACAGTGGCACAGCCAATCACTGACACGGCCGCTACCAAAACAACATGGCTGCTCAACAAATAGGAGCTCGTCCATCTGTCTTAATGTACCCCCACCACCGCCGCCATTTCCCCTGGGCCATGACGCCACATCTCCCAAATGGAAACAGAAGTCATGACGATAGGCCGGACCGATGCTTTTTAGATCTGTATCTGGGCTCCGAACGGTCTATCTGAGGATTCCTACACGGTTAGAAAATGAGGCTGAGGTTAGTTTGGTCTCTGTGTCAGCTGTGCAATGAGGGAGCGGATTGTAGATAGGGTCTAATTTCCCCAAATAAAGTACAATGTGACTGTAAGGTAGAGCTGTGTATGTGCATGTTTGTGTGAGTGGAGCTTGTACTTCTTAATTGATGCACAGGGGGGAAAAAAATAAATGTATCCCAGTTTTACACTTAAGATGATTAATACAGAAATTAATAGTAAAAGAAGTACTAAGTAAAAAAAAAAAAGATTTTATTAATTTTACTCAAATATTTGTAAAATATCAGCTATGTTACAGATCTGTACTATTATTGCCAGTTTAAAGCTATTTGAATTTAATTTATTAGGGTCAATTTAATTAATTTTTAATATTAAAACTAGAAAAATACAAAGTCAAAGATTGTATGGATGTCACAAGTTAAAAAAATAAATTGTATAACATGTTTTTTTTTTTTTTTAAATCAAACATTACATTTCTGAATCAGCTTTGATTAC